CTGAACAACTGCACATCAAGAGAGAAGGCAAACAAATTGCCCATTCAAGCCAAAATAAGATGCTCCTGAGGGAAGCAAAACAGCTGGAGCCAATTTAGCCAGACACGGAGGTGACGGACCTGAAGACAGAGCTGGATCTGGGGAGCCTGCCTCCTTCAAGCCAAAATAAGATGCTCCTGAGGGAAGCAAAACAGCTGGAGCCAATTTAGCCAGACATGGAGGTGACGGACCTGAAGACAGAGCTGGATCTGGGGAGCCTGCCTCCAGGAGGCAGGGATCTCCTGAGCAAGTGGGGGCCACATGCCCTCAGCTCACCTCTGCTGACCTCAGTCTAAGCTCAGAAATGGGAGCCAGCCAGCAAGCTTTGTCAGATATGGATGGAAATCCTGGGTGGAAAGTAACAAAGGAAGCAAACTAGTGAACAAGCCAAGTGAGCAAGCACCTGGTGACGACCGATAATGTTACAGGCGCTGAGCAGGCCCTTGACATACCTGAGCCATTTGGAAGAACAACTTCTAGGGGTGGGTATCATGATGTCAATTTCACACTCAAGAATCAGGCTCAGTGAGGCAGGGAGTTTGTACAAGGCACACAGGTAGGGAGCAGACAAGCCAGCCATGGCCAATAGCCTCAGTTCTTCCCTTTCTGATTGTCACCTGAGTTTCTCCATGCCCAGCTCCAGCAGCTCTTCTTTGTCTAAAGCAGAAACTTTGTCTAAAAGCAGAAACTCACACTACCTCACCTTCCTGTCTAGCAATGGGAGCACCTGGTGGTAAACAGAAAACATGTCAAGAGAAACTTAATTGGAAAACTAAGTAAAGAACTAAACCAAATTGCGCAAGAAGAGAGAAACCTGGAAGTAAATGAAATAGTGGAGCAGAATTTCCATCCCTGGAGGCCGGCCCGTGGCTCACTCGGTAGAGTGCGGTGCTGATAACACCAAGGCCACAGGTTTGGATCCTATATAGGGATGGCCGGTTTGCTCACTGGCTGAGCGTGGTGATGACAACACCAAGCCAAGGGTTGAGATCCCCTTACCGGTCATCTTTTTAAATAAATAAATAAATAAATAAATAGGGCCGGCCTGGTAGCACTCGGTAGAGTGTGGCGCTTGGGAGCGCGGCGGCGCTCCCGCCGAGGGTTCAGATCCCATATAGAGACTGGTCCGCTCACTGGTTGAGCGCAGTGCGGGCGCAACACCGAGGGTTGCAATCCCATTACTGGTCACGAAAAAAGACAAAAAAGGGGAAAAAAAATAATAATAAAATTAAATAAATAAATAAATAAATAAAAATAAAAGAATTTCCATCCCTGGAAGAAAGTGAAACGTGGCTGCTGTGGAGCTTGCCTCAGTCTGGAATATGTAGGGCCTGAGTCCCTTTCTGGGATGGTGGATAGCAGAATCCTGACCTGGAATAAATCAGGACTAGCACTCTTCCCAGGGCTGCTGAGATGTCCCTATCCCCCAGAATGTGACACTAGGCCCCAGTTTACAAATCCATTCTGCAGCTACGCTAAGATCTTGCCCTGGACCCTGACATCCAAGATGGGAAAGATGGTTCCCTCTCTAACTTCTCAGATTCCCACTCTGAGCATCAGGCCTTTTTGTAGTCATTTTACAATTACTTCCTTCCTTGAGATCTTAATATATAACAATAATAATAATGATAATAATAATTGCAGCTAACATTTATTGACTGAGCATCAGGCCTTTTTGTAGTCATTTTACAATTACTTCCTTCCTTGAGATCTTAATATACAACAATAATAATAATGATAATAATAATTGCAGCTAACATTTATTGGGCCTTTACTTTTGTGCCAGGCACTTTACAAAACAACCCTATGAGATCGATTATATGATATCCCTGATGAGGTGATCAAGACACAGAGAGGTTCAGCCACTTACACAAGGTCACACAGCTTATAAGTGGAGGAGTCAGGATTTGAATCCATGCAATCTGACCCAGTACCTGTGCTCTTCTTAACCACTACCCATACTGCTTCAGGTCATATAGTGGAAAGAGCAGTCTTGAAAGCCAGGCAGAGAGCTCTACCACTTACTGTTACTTATCCCTGGGCAACCTGTTTAACCCATTTCACCTCTAAGTCTCAGTTTCCTTCTCTATAAAAAAGGCACAACACATATACTTTGTGGAGTTTTGCTATTTCCGAAGAGAGAACAGGTTCTCAAGTCCTTTCACCCTTCTCTTTTTCACCTCCCTTTCTAGTTTGATTTATCTGTCGCACATTCATTAGACATTAAGGCTGCATTTACCCTTGAGCAAAGTTTGGCTTCACTATATTCCACTATTATATAGGTATTTCATGCCTATCACGTGTAGAACATGGCATCAGGCACTGAAGGGCCAGAGCTCATGGAATGAAACTAAAGGCAGGAAAATCCACCTAAAGTGGCAATGGCAGCAGAGTAGAGGTGAGGTGCTGGCTGGGAGAAACGTGGCTTTAAGTTGGCAGGAACTCTTCTCCTCCAGTTTGTCTCCCTCTTGCTAGCTTCCTGCCAGGGCTAACAGGAGGCTTCTTGTTGCTTCCTGTCACAAAGCTTGCACCCTCCAGTAGTAGGGAGCCTCTGGCTCCCAGCTCACAGGGAGGTAGACATGCCCAGAGCTTTGACTAGACCCACCTTTCCTGGCTCTGGAACCATTCATTCATCATTCTACAGACTGTGAGCAGCACTGGGGACAAAATGGAAAATAACAAGTCTGCCCTCAAGAAGCTCACCAGCATGCTCTGTTCTCCCACTGCCCCTGACGGCCTTCCTACTTGCGTAACACCGGACTCACCTTTGTAGTATGCCCTCATTTCTCTCTCCCAACAAAGACATACTTCACTAGAATAGTTATAGTAATAAGTGATTCTCTCCTACCCAACCCCTACCAAGGGAAATGAGAAACAAATGGAATATATATATGCCAGGCATTTTACATATATTATCTCACCTATCTTCACAACAATCCTGCAAGGTAGGATAATTACCCCCATTACATAGACGGGAGGGAAATGGATGCTCACATAGAAATGGAGCCGGTTTGAACTACGGCTGTCTGCTTGCAGAGTCTCTGCTCTTTCTACAGCCCCAGGCTGCCTATGTTAGCTCAGCCAGCTGCTCTGCTAGCTCTGGCCCCCTCCTTCATCTGGACTACGTGCTTTCACGTATGATTCCTGAAATCTTCTCATCTGTGCTGGTCCCAGAGGAAGCCAACCTCTCCCAGTCCAGTGACAGCAGAAGCAGTGCAACATTCTAGGCACCACCTTTGATTCTTTGATTAGCTTGTTTTAATTACACCCAGGCTGGTGCAGTTCTGGTATAAAGTACCCAGTACTGCTGCAAAGCATACAGGTTTGCTGTTACACTTTCTAGCTTGTTCTCTGACTCCAGTACCTATTACTCCCCACCCATTCTGCTGGCTGACAACCTCCGTTCTCTGCTGTCCTTGGTTCTGCATCTTTGCACATCACGTTCAGGCCTGCAAAGCAGTGCTTCAAACTACCGCCACCCTAGGCAGCTGAGCCAGCCTAGCTCAATTCAGAAAAGAGTGCTTGAGTCTCTGCTGAGAGCCAGGTACTGTTCTGGGTGTAGTGAATAGGCAAAAAAACAAGAGGAAAACACAGGGACCTTGCCCTTCAGAAATTTAGAGTCAGAGGCTAGGAGAGAGAAGCAGACAGGAACAAAAATTTTCAGAAAAGAGTGCTTGAGTCTCTGCTGAGAGCCAGGTACTGTTCTGGGTGTAGTGAATAGACAAAAAAAACAAGAGGAAAACACAGGGACCTTGCCCTTCAGAAATTTAGAGTCAGAGGCTAGGAGAGAGAAGCAGACAGGAACAAAAATTACCGACAAAAGGCAGGCAGTGGTGGGATTGTAATAGAGTCCTAAAATATCAGAGCTGGAGGGAAACTTGGGTTTTCTGTTTTAAGCCTTCCATTTTACAGGTGGGGGAACTAAAGCCCAAAGGAGAGCAATTACTCAAGCTAATAATATCAGGTAATAACAACTAACATTTCTAAAGCCTCACTAGGATCTAAGCACCATTCTACATGCTTTATGTATATTAACTCATTTAACCTTCACAACAACCCTATGAGGTAAATACTATTGCCCTCCTCATTTTAAAGATGAGGAAAATGAGGCATAGAGGGGTTAAACACCTTGTCCAAGGTGACACCGCTAGTAAGTGGAAGCCTGTATTGGACCCAGGCAGTCTGGCCCTTCATTTTAGTCTATTTAATGTACTGTGAGATGGAGAATGAGTCTACTTAAGGAAGTAATGAGAAGACTTCTTGAATGAATTACTTTTAAGTCTAATTATGAAAACATTCAACTTTGGTTATCCAACTAAGAGGAAGCCTCAGTTAACCAAAAGTTTGGGTCCAACTGGGAGTTCCTGAGTACCACTAAAAACAAGGCAGTGAGGGTAGTGAGCAGAGCCCCATATTTCCAAAGAAAGAGCCAAACCAAGAGGAAAGAACTTGGTATAAGGGATTTATTCAAAAAATGAGAAGCAGTCCAATCCACTTTTCCTTTTTATGTCTAGCTTTCTACACATGATGCCTCAAGCCTGTGAGTTCTTTAATATCCTCAAATGCCATTTCCTGAGGCAGGCAGGCCAGCTCAGGCACCTTAAAAAGATGATCAGTAATATGGATTGACGCTTTCAGAAAAGGGGTTTCTTAGTAAATCTTTGGTCAACCAAAGACTTCCATTTCCCCAAATCTTCCCCAACACACACACACACACACACACGCGCGCACACACGCACACGCACACACGCACATGCACACACACGCTTTGGTCAACCAAAGACTTCCATTTCCCCAAATCTTCCCCAACACACACACACACACACACGCACACACGCACATGCACACACACGCACACACACACACACACACACTTTGGCTTTTGGTTAACCAAGAACCTTCTCCAATTCTGCCATATGATCTTCAAAATAAACACAGTTATCAGTATAAAAATTACTTACCAATTACTGCCAAATTATGTTCTGAGCCACAAGAGACCTGTAAAAAGAAAGAAAATAAGTCACATTAGAAAAAGAAAATGTATAGATATTTCAGCTAGTATATTTTATGATCGTAGTTATTTTATAATTATACTAACATCCATCTTTGGCAAATTTTAGAAAGGAAGTAGAAAGGAGTACCATCTACAAAGGTTAAGACTATAATTACAACACATTCACAGCCACATAAAAAGAGAATATGAAAAAACATTGAGTGAAAATACACCAAGAGCTGGCTGGTTAGCTCAGCTGGTTAGAGCACAGTGTTATAACACCAAGGTCAAGGGTTCAGATCTCCACACAGGTCAGCCGCCAAAAAAAAAAAAAAAAGGAAAAGGAAAATACACCAAAAGTTTAAAAAGTTGTCTTTAGCCAGTGAGATCATGAGTTACATTTTAAAATCCTTTCTTTCTACATTTTTGTATTTTCAAACTTTTTATAATGAGCATATGTTACTTTAAAAATAGAAAGATAAGGCAATAAAGATAACAGTTTTTGAAAACTTAACTGAAAAGACCATCACTCTCATCTGGACTGACAGAATGAGCAAAGAATTCAGTGGTAACAGACTGGTCTGAGGAAATGCTTGACCTGTCCTCATCTGCCCACTCTCCCTTTCACCTTCCAACCAATACAAACTATCTGAAGTTCTTTGAACATGTCATGTTCTCTCACACTCTCAGGCCTTCGTACATGCTTGTTCCTCTACTCAGAACGCCTACTGCCTTTCTCTCCTCTGCTGTCTACCTAAAAAATTTTTATTCATCCTTTAAAATCTCAAAGCAGGGCCGGCCTGGTGGCGCACTGCTACAGTGCGCCGCTTGAGAGCGCCGCGGCGCTCCCGCTGAGGGTTCGGATCCCACATACAGACCAGCCGCTCACTGGCTGAGCGAGGTGCGGGCACAACACCAAGGGTTGCGATCCCGTTGCCGGTCCCGGTCCGGTACGGGCGCGACACTGAGGGTTGCGATCCATTGCCGGACACGAAAAAAGACAAAAAGGAAAAAAAAAAAATCTCAAAGCATCTACTGAGCTGTTCTTCTAGGCAGACCCGGGCACTCCTGTCATTATGCTCTTATATGTACCCTCATTGTAGCAATGATACTGCTGCCTTTTAACATTTTTTTCCTGTCTCCTCACTAGACTACATGCATCTTGAGATCAGAGCTAAGTCTCATTCACCTCTGTTTGCACAGATGGATTGTACAAGGCCTGGGAATTAAGTTAACATCTGCTAAATGAGAGAATGAATGGAGGAACAAAGTACATAAAAGAACAAATACCTAATACGCAAAAGACCATCATTTGGGGTTCGGAATCCAGTGTTTCCAAACAGTGAGAGACACTTCAATTGCCTTTCAGTCTCCCCATGTCCCCAGCATTACCAGGAGGAAGTGCCTGGGGATACAAAAGCATAAATGGTTCCCCAGGTACTAATTAAGAGGAACTCTAAACTCTGTAGAAGCGTACTGTGACATTTATCAGGATGCTCACCTTAGCTCCTGGAAAGAGGAAGACTTCAGATACTATGGAATGTTAATGCTGGAAGGGCCCAGGAGATCATCTACATAACAAGGAGAAAACCAAGGGTTGGGAAGGGGAAATAACTTGCTTCAGGTCCCAGAGCAAGTCTGTGTCAAAACTAAGACTAGAGCCACTCTGATTCTCCTGATTCTCATACAAGTTCCTTTCCTGATACTTTTCACTCTTTCCCAGCGAAAAACATGTGGAAGTAATATTCAAAGCTTCTTTGCACAAGCCCCTGACAGTTAAGACAACAGGCTCAAAAAGCATTTGAGCGCTGGAGTTCAATCAGCATACTGGTAGGTGAGAAGGGGCAGCAAGGCTCCCTAGGCTTTTTCCTGTGTAAAACCTGTGCTTCCTAGATCCCAGCTTCCACAGGGAAGTGGGCTATTCACACTTATGTGGACTCCCTGACAGCATCTGGCAAAGAAGCACCTGTATATTCTATGCCAAGTAGGTATTTCCAGGTTGTCTAGTCTCTGAGCTCCTTTGAGGCTGGCTCTGTGTCTGACTTACCTGAGGGCTCCCATCATGCCTTGCCCAGGGCCATACACACAGCATAAGTTTAGTACATGCTTCCTGGTTGTACTGAGGCTGGTTCCCTAGGTTCTGTTACAGGAAGTATAATCTAGGGTCCAGGGTCTCCTAAACTCCCAGGCTCTCACTGCTGCTAAAAGGTCCAAAACAGGAAATGAACCAGTCATAACCCTTTGTTCTGAGTTTCTGTTCTTGCAGGAGGCAGCAGGAAGTCATGAACCATGAAATACTAGACTGCCCTCAAAAAATATCAGCTGAAACTGAAATACAGTCCCCACAGATGAATTTTAGTAAATCTCCATCCAAGGAGAAGCTGGTATCTCCACACCTATCTGCCCCTGTTTTATGTCATGGATCAGCCACGACAGGAAGTCTCAGTTAGCCACCTATGGACTATAACCTGTACTAGTTGAGGGCTCAATGTTTAGCCCGTATGACAACTTCCTGAGGTCCCTTCCTGAGTCCAGATGTAAATGTGGCTTCAGAACTGACCAGTGAACTTTGTCCCATAGTCGACCAATCCAAATTGAACAAGCTTGTATCCTTCAGTTATATGAGAGGACCTAAATGGGAACTTGGGCAGGAAATCACACGGGAACTTTGGCTACATAAGATGACCCCTTTCCCTTGTTTGGCGAGACACTGCTTTGGGAGTGATCTCCAGTGTTCTTCTTACTTGTAAGTAATAAAGCTTTTTCCTCCTATCCTCGTCCTGACAGTTTTGTGCTCTCCAAGGGATGGACCCCCATTGTCTGGTAACAGAAGCTACTTAGAGTGAAGAATTGAGAAAAGCTACATGTCTAACAGTAGGGGGATGCTTATGTAAATTATGATAGTCATCTAATGGGCTTTTATGCAGTCTTGGAAAATGATGCTTAAAATAATAGGAAAATATTAATGATCTCATGAACTGAAAAATCACATAAAATTGTAAAAATAACATGATGTCAACTCTATAATAAAACATGAATAAAAAAGACTTAGGAAATACTTCAAAATGTTAACAATGATTGCCTCTAGACTGGGGATGTTGTAGGCATTATGAATATGGTTTCTCCTTTCCTTTTTCTGTACTCTCTGAATTTTATACACTATTCTTATAATCAGAAAAAAATATTAAAAATAAGAAAAAGTAAACATAATGCAGTTCCCACCTCAGAGGGGAAAAACCCATCCGGCTATAATATGCTATAAAATCTGGTATGTTTAGAAGTAGTGGAGAAAAAAGATTTGAAGGAAACATAAATAAATTATAAGGCGAGTTGCATCACAGTGGTGGAATTATGAGATATTTTTCTTCTAGTCTCTATTTTTCAAATATTCTTTAACTGTGGGGGTAGCGGCAGCAATAAGAGCAGGAATTAAAGCTAACATAAGGACTCATATGTGCCAGGCATCATGCCAAGGCACTTTATAATCATTATCACATTTTAATCATCACAACAATCTTTTCAGGTAGGTTTGACTTTGCTCATTTTAGATATAAGGAGACTGGAGGCTCATACATATTACAAAACCTTCATAGCTAGTTAAGTGGCGAAACTAAAACCCGGGTCTGCCTGATCTCCAACCTAGTGTTCTTTACTTTTATATCATGTTACCTTTGTTTTTGAAAATTAGTTATTTCATTTTACAAAACGCAGAGAGAGAAATGGCCTGACTCTGACCGCCAAGGTTCACCGTAGGACTGTGGACTGCAGAGCTGACCAGGCTTGAGGACCAGGGGCTTCCAGAAACAAGCCACTGACAAATGCCAGTATCAGGCAGCAGATGCTGCTCTGAATTAATGAGTGAGACAGTGATGAATGGATTTTGTCAAGCCAATGTAGAGCTTGAAGCCCAAAGCTCCCCTCTGCTTCTTGCTGTCTGTGCACTGGCATAGAGGTCAGGAGACTGAACACCACAGGCCACAAAATCTCAGGGCTGTACTCCTTCAACGAGATTGTATCAATGACCATTTGCCTCATGTTGCTCCTGTCAGCATCTACCCACTGCCCAGCTGCATACAGCTTTCTAGGAGACTCTGTTAACAATGGCAATGTGCCCAGGAGAAAGAGATTCAGGAGCCAGGAGGCCAGTTGAGTCCTAGGTCCTCTGCTTTCCAGCTTTGAGACCTTCAGCAAGTTAAACTCTCAGACGTCAGTGTTCTCAGGTGTGAAAAGTAGTTAACAGTGTCTGTCTTGTCTGCCTCACAGAATTGCTAGAGGACAAATGAGATAATCCATCCCCTCACAGCCATGCGTCCCACCCTCCTTCCTTACATACAAATCTGACCATGTCATGACCCTGTATAAAACCCTTCAAAGGCTCCCAGTATTGGTAGGGCAAAGTCTAAGCTTCATAGTATGGCTTACAAGGTCCTTATGAGTAGGTCCATTTACGTCTCTGGCCTCATTTCCTCCTGCTGCTACTCAAGAACCCTCAACCTCAAACAACATATTCCCTTTGTTCCATTCACACCATATTACATTATCTCACATGTGATGTCTATTCACAGACTATGCACATGTCAGTCACCTCTGTGTCTCAGACACCCAGCAGACTGCCTGCCCAATAGTGTCTCTGCCACACACAGCCCAAGTGCAAGGCACGGGTGTGAAGGGGATGGTTCAACATATGTGTCAATAAATGTGATATGCCACATCAAAAAAATTAAGAACAAAATCCATATGATTATCTCAAAAGACACAGAAAAAGCATTCAACAAAATTCAGCATTGCTTCATTCTCCAGAGCCATTAGAGCCCAGCTGCCTGCCTGTCTGGAGCCAAAAGAGCCCGTCCAGCTATTGCCTCGAGGCCTCAGAGCCTTGTTTGCTGTTATCTTCCGTCCCTCCCTATCCTGTGCACTATGGGTGTAGGTAGCTTTACAACTTGCCATAGATAATGGGAATTTTCCATTTACCGGAATAACCCACCCTGTGGTTTTCTCAGTAAAC